GCCTGACCAGGGGCTGCACCTAGGGATTGGGCCTGCCCTCTGCCACCCGGGAGCAGGCCTAAGCCAGCAGGTTGTTATCTCCCGAGGGGTCCCAGACTGCAAGAGGGCACAGGCCGGTCTGAGGGACCCCCCTTCCCCCGAGTGCACAAATTTTTGTGCACCAGGCCTCTAGTTAAAAATAAAAGGACAGAAAAAATACACTAAAGACAATAATACATAGTGTGGCCATATTAGTAACAGATAAAATAGTTTTGAGGTGAAAAGAGATTTAAGAAAGTCATTTTATAGTGATAAAAAGTTCAACTCACCATGAAGGTATAGCAATTCTAAATTTGATACACTCAAAACATATTAAATATAAATGAACAGAATTAAAAAAGAGAAGTGGGTATACCCACAATCATGTGAGATATTTCAAAATCCCTCTCCTGTGAATTGATAGAAAAAGCATACATAATATCAGAAGAATATAGAATATATTAACAAATTTGACCTAATTAATGTGTTAAGACCCTTACACTCAGCAATTGCAGGACTTGCCTTTTTTTCCTAGGTACACATGGTACACGGACAGAATTGACTGCATACTGAACATAAAGCGAGTCTTAACAAATTCCAAAGTGTTTAAATCACAAAGACTATGCTTTCTGACTAAAATAAAATTAAGCTAGAAATCAATAACATTAAAAAAATTACAAAATCCAACAAATAACTAGAAAACCCCCACATGTGTGGAAATTAAAAATTATACTTCTAAATAATGGATGGAGCAAAGCAGTAATTGCAATTAAAATAGGAATTATAAAATATTTTTATTTAAATAATGATGAAAACACTTGATATTGAAACTGTTCAGTTGCAACTACAGCAGTACTCAGAGGGCAATTTATAGCCTTACTGTATCTACAGTATTATGAAGAGAAAAGGCAAAAATTAACTAACTAAGCATCTATCCCCAAATGGCATGAACTGGACAGTAAAATAAACCCAAAGAAATAAGGAAGCAAATAATAAAGATTAATTAATGAAAGCATAAATTGATGAAATCGAAAACAAATATATCAGATAGGGCCAATAAAGCAAAAATTGTTCTTTGAAACAAATAATGAAAATACCCAGACAAGACTGACAAAGTGAAGAGAAAAAACACTAATAACCAATATAAGGAATTGAAAAGGACATATTATTACAATTTCCAAAGCTGTTAAAAAAATCATAAGACAATGTTATGAGTGACTTTGTGCCAATTCAGTATAATATTGAGATGGCATTGAAAATTTCCTAGAAAAATGTAACTTACCTGAATAGAGAGGAATTCTTTGTCTGCTGCTGGGGTCCTGCCCCAGCAGGTCCAGGGGTCCCCAAAGGTGTGGACGGAGTCGGCGAAGAAGGAATGACACAAAGACAGCGTTCAGTTGATCAGCAGCCTAGCCAGGATCTCTAGCCAAGTTCTGGTCAGGATCTCCAGCCAGGTTCTGTAGCCATGTTCTCGTGCTAGGTTCTGTAGCCATGTTCTCTTGCTAGGTTCTCCAGCCAGGTTCTGTAGCCATGTTCCCTCACTAGGTTCTCCAGCCAGGTTCGGTCGCCAGGTTCTATGGCCAGGTTCTT